GGTGAAAGACACAAAACCTAGAGTAGCCCTAATAAGAAAGTAAAATGATAAACAACCATGCGTCCAAGTTGACCACGACAAGAGTAAACCGTAAGGAACACTTGATGTCAACAAATCCTAATGTGTATAGGGTTCGTCAATACATCCAAGCCTCATCTAGAACGACAAAAGAAAATGAGAAGACCTCAAGTGCCTGCAACACCAAGCCGAAGAGCAAAAAAGGCCGGCCAGTCCATTTCCACGAGTACGGTATTTTGGCGGCAGAGGCCGATATTGTGTGGCCATTGGGTCACCTCTTGCATCACCCCTGTCTTGACATCAGCAACATAGACAACCCGCTGCTTATCCATGATGAGCACAATCCCGCTTTTCTCTCCCAAGCATTTATAGACACGTTGTTTTAACTTGAGTATTGAAGATTGGCAGAACATCTTGTTGTCGCGCGACGTCCAGATCTGTACCCGGCGACCATCCTGCTCCAAGCAGAGCAACATGAGCTTCCCCTCGGTGTCAGCGGTAAGATATGGTTTGTCACGCAGCCCTAAAATGCAAAGAACACCTAAGACCCAAAGATTAGCTATGCCGTTCAATTCTGTAATGGAGACGTGTCCAGTTTCAATGCTCAAATCAAGAGTGTAGATTGCAGCAGGCACTCCGAAGAAGAGCCAGTGCGCGGCGCCACCGCACACAACAGCTTCACGCTGCATAAATGCCACGCGGATGTTGTGATTCCCGGCCTTCAAGAGGCCACCGGAGCACCTGCTCCATCCTGCCTCGTCGGCCGATGAGAATGTCTAGAGACTGTACTCCGTATAATAGCCGTGATTCTTGAGGATCGTAACAATCACCACCTTGAAGAAGAATGACCGCTGATGCTGGTGATCGTCCAAACTCCCACCGTCCTTATTAGTAAGTAGGGTGTATCCCATCATGTCTTCATCAGAATTATAGCCTAGAAGAGAAGGGAGTACGCGTAAAGTGCCATCGAGCAGATCGCAGACGGCCAGGATGCCACGGCGCAGATTGGTGTTGACGCGCAGCAGCAGAAGGCCATGGCGCGATACGAGCGGCACCGCATAGTCGAAGAAGCCGGCGGCCCAGATGTCGGGGACGAGGGAGCTGAGACGACGGCGACGACGGCCCAGCGCCAGCGGGACCGCGCGTGGCGACGGGATGAACCACGGCGTCCTATGCTGCCCGCGTGCCTGCAGCTGCGTGAAGAAGCCAACAAAGACACCCACGCCCTCCATGCGGGCAACGAGGCGGCGCCACCCTTTGCACACGACGGCGCAGCGGAAGAGCGCGGGTACATGATCCTTGATGCGTGAGAGGATATCCATGACCACGTCGTCCGGCAACGAGTCGGCCATGTTTGTTTGGTGCGGGCAACTCGCCCGCTGTTGCACGATGATCGATCTGGATTTATTTCAGGATTTCCGGCGATGCGCTTTCAATGGGAGGAGACTTTCCCGTCGACGACGAGGCGCCTACGGTGACTTCGTAAATCTCAAGATGATATGTCGGCTCAGTCTCTCGGAGGTGCTCATAGGGTAGGGTGTGCGTGTGTGCGTTCATAGGGATGAGTGTATGCACGTGTATATGAGCGCTTGTGTCTGTACTGATGCTCAAAAAAATAATAATATATATATCATAGAGATTGATGCATGCGTATCTTGTCAATTATTAATATAATTATGAATCGTAGGATTGAGCTTGATTAGGTTGGATTCGATTAATAATTGCCTTCCTGATTCTCGGTTCCTTCATTGTGGGGAATTCGAATCGTCTATCAAATTGGCGCAACCAAATTTATTTTTACTACGTCGTTGGGATTTCCCTGTCTTGTCTCTAGTGTCGAGAAAAATAGGATTGGCCCCCGCGTCGCCGCGCCACTCTCTCGACCCCCTCCACCCCTTCTCTCCCATGCCGTTGCGGGCTGGAACCGCATGGGCAAAGCCCTCGCAGTATTCAGTGGTGGCGGCCCCTCGCGTGGTCCGGTCGGCTCTGGCAGCGTTCTTTAGCAGGCTCGCGTGGCACCGACGGCGCGGAATATGAAGGCAGATCAATGCGGCTCTGGTGGTGCGGAGGCGTGGGTCTACCTTCAAGCGTTCCGCTGGTGCGGCGGTGGGGGTCTTTACGCTCCCACTAGCCCTGTCTACACGGTTGTTCATCCCCCCATGGTGCTCGTCTTGGTGGTGCCGACAGCCGCCAACGCCATGGCTTCAGGCTGCATCGAATGAGTCTGGCTTGCTATGGCCATAGTCGAGATCTCTGAATGTGGAGATCCGGTGCACATTGTTGAACCATGACATATATGTATTTATTACCGACCGATTCTCCTATCATCTCTAGCCTTGTATAGGTTAACTCCTGGAGATATTCTTGAGAGGATATCCATGAGAGGATTGTTAGAAATATAATTGGGTTTAAGTTAGAGATAGGATTAGTTTAAACCACATGTAACTTGTCTTGTACTTCAAGTCTCTATCCCTTTTGTACTCCTATATATACCCTACACAAGGGTCAGATCAATACAACGAATATTGTAGGTTCTATATATTTCTACAAGGATATCCATGACCATGTCGTCCAGCAACGAGTCGGCCATGTTTCTTTGGTGCGAGCAACTCGCTCGCTGTTGCAGGATGATCGATCTGGACCTCAATATATATCAAAGAGGTTGATGCATGCGTATCTTGTTAATTATTAATATAATTATGAATTGTACGATTGAACTCGATTGGGTTGGATTCGATTAATAATTACCTTCCTGATTTTCTATTCGTTCATCGTTGGGATTTGCCTTCGTGATTTTCGATTCCTTCATCGTTGGGATAGGCGCAGCGCAATCATATTTATTTGTTACTACATTTAGATCAATTGGTTACGGCTAGACATCGTTAGGATTTCCCTATCTTGTGTCGAGAAAAAATGGATCGCTTCCTGCTTCCCCGCCCCGCGGACCCAAAGCAGCAGCATAAAAAAACTTCAATAAGGTGACGAAGCCGGGCACCGCCGCCGCCCAAAAAAAGTTATGGGTTTTCACCCGGGTGCAGGGGGAGGGAGCTGGATCTCGAAGCCGCCTTCAAGAAGGAAACAACGCCTGGAGCGCCGCCGGCGTCGTGGCCGCCACAGCCGGCCAAGAAATTACTCTGATCCAGAGCTCCCAACCCCACATCCGCGTAGTCAGCCACCGGATCTGGCCGGACTGACGAGGAGGAAGCAGCAGCACGGGGACGCCGTCTTCAGATCTGGCGAAGGAGAGCAGCAGGGGATCCCTCCACGCGGCGCCCGCATCTACCACCAACTCGCCGCCCGCGCTGCCGAGTAGACGCGGCCCTCAACACCGGCGAGCGCCGCCCGCCGCCGGGACGACGCCGCCCTCACCAGCAGAGGCCGCTGCCTCAAACCCTTGGCCCGAACCCGAGCGGCGTCGCGGCCGAGGGCCTCGCCGCCACCCTCATCGGCGGCCGCGCGGGGGACCCGGCGCCCGTCTCCGGCGGCAGCGAGGAAAGGAACCGAGAAGGGGGGAGGCGGACAGGGAGGTTGGTCGCCCCCGAGTTGCCCTCGAGAGGGCGACGCGAGGGAACGGAACGGGAGACTCTTGTGACTTGTTTCGAATCGTTTTGAAACATGATGTTAGTATTCTCCTAAATGTCCTTCGCAGATAATATCTCTTATATATGGCAACATGTATAGTATGACCCTAATGCTTCGCACAGGAATATCACCTAGGTGCATAAATCAGAATCTTTCAGTATAAACCAGATTAAGTAGTACATTGGGAACATCCGAACACAAATATATGTTGCCGTAAGGCTTACATTTGTACATATTATCACATTTGGTTTAAAATTCCTTTTACAAAAACAAATAATTTGTTTCCACAATAAAAGGCGAAGGTATATACTATGTAATTTTGTTAAATTCTTGCCCGTGCATCTGCGAGGGCAAATTTTCTAGTTCAATAAAATGTGAAATGCCATCCAAAGAAATACTTCCTCCATCCCAAAATAAGTGGCTAATAGTACAAAGTTGAGACACTTATTTTGAAACGGAGGGTGTATTTGTATCCAAAGTATTCCATTGGCAAGCAGAAGATACCGCTGCCTGAAACTCTTTCCACTTTCCACATTCAGTTAAGGCAAAGCTTGCTGCTCCGCCTAAAAAATGTCTAGCTGCTCAAAGCACGCTGCCTTCCGCATCACCACCAGTCTCACTGTAACGGTTCAGGAACTGAGTAAACCCTACGTATCAACTAAAGAGATATCTCTCATTTGAAACTGACCTGAAACATACACATTTTGGGTGACCAAAATGAAACATACACATTTTGGACTGTTTGGGTACAAGCTGTATTAAACTATTAATGCTCCAACATACCTGAGCCTGACCTGAAGATGCCACATCACACATTCGAAATGACCTCAATGGGTACAAGCTATATTAAACTATTAATGCTCCACCAGCCTGCGTTCATTTCCAGAGAATGAGAAAGTCATTTGCAAAAAGAGCTAATGACGACAACAAAAGACCAAGAACAGAAGGCGGGAAGAGCCTGGTTTAGTGCTGTTATTGACAGAAATCACAGTCATGTTCACGCTGGATGAATATTAGCAATCGAATTCGACAGGAATGCCAACATTAATATGGATCAGATTACACACAGTTGTCAATCATCTGCACTGCCCATGGAGATTACAAATTGGAAGCACGCAAAGGCTTGGCATAAACGAATGCATCGCCCTTCCTTTTCCAAACCAAGGAAAAACAAAGGTGATTGAGCATAAGCAAAATTCAGTAGAGCATAAGTAACAGAGCAGTACATTATTCAAACAGTTCCTTAAAACATAAACAGATAGCACACGGAACGGAACAAATAATTAGCCACGGAGGAAGTAATCAAATTCGATTTAATTTATTAATTGGGGATGTGCTTAATCTTTTGCGCGAGAAAGCAGGGCACTCTGGATGGATACCCGCTTGGCATCCTTGGCCGATCACAGATTCTTGTCCCAATCTTTCCCAAGCAATTTGTCAACTACATAAAAGGAGTGATTATTAGTAAGGGATGTGCTCAATCTTTACACAGGTCAATTACAGAGGCAGAGACTTACATGATCGTCGTGGGTCAGCAGGACATCTCCTCCATAAGTGCTTAACCTTTTCATAGTTTTCATGTCCGGGTTCCCTGCAGGACTTCATGAACTCAACATTGCAATCTTGAAGATCAAAGCTCAAAACAGACTGCGGTAGTGTTGGGAGTGATCGGATATTTGGGCATGCATTGATCATCAGTTCCACCAGCGATGTGAGGTCCCTCATATTGCCTGGTAAGGCATCCCAGCTGCAGCACCTAAGATGGAGCACACGAAGTCGAGGGAAAGCCTCTACAAATTGAGGAGGTCCCTGCTGACCGAATCTCCACAGCATAAGATGTTTCAGGTCTTTTGGGCCACCCTTCTCCCTATTCTCCATCCAACTTGGGTACGCTGAGGCATTGTAGTTATAGATTTCCAGTTCTTGAAGCTTCATGGGAGGGCACAGGATCTCAAGTACATGGTCTGGTTGGACTACCTGGGATAGTTCATAACATTGCCACTTCAGTGTAAGCTTTCTGAGCCCTTTCTTGACGGATAAATTGGCTTTAACTGCTTCATCCTGGCTATTAACATTATCAAGGCAAACAATCGCCAGTGTACCGCGAAGCTTGTCCAGGCCCCCAAGCTGATGTAGCTCGTACCCTGCTTTATCCATCACTCTGAACTCTGCCATCTCTTGCAGTGAGGTCAGCCTGCCTATGTTACATAGTAGGGCATGGCCGAAATATAGCATTCGGATATGCCAAAGTTCAGCAAATGCGCTTGGACAAATTACCTCACATGAATAGCCAGTCCTGAAAGCAAGATAACATAGCCGCTTTAGCCGGCTAATAGACTCTGGGAACGAGAACTTCTCTGGTTTGTGAATTTGACCGCCGAAAGCAACAGCCAGTACCCGCAGTTTTGGACAATACTTGCATATATTCTCCATGACTTCTTCCTCAACTGGTCTATCCGGCTTAACACTATAAATGATGAGAGTTCGTAAGTTGTCCAATCCATCGATCTCCTTCTTGATCAATTCTGCATCATAGTTCAGAAAAAACAGATGGCGGACATCTCGAGGGACAACTTGTTCCTTGTCTTCTACTGTCTCTCCAGTTGCATACTCGATTCTGAAGCAATCACCTTTAGTGATGTAGTTTACTAAATCATGCAGCATATCATGAATTCTATAGAAATCACCACCCCACTTATCTTCTTCATGTTTCGGAAATGAGAATGACAGTAACGCTTGAAAGTAGCTCTCAGCTACAGCTTCCATGTCCTCGTTTCCATTGGTCTTAACAAACCCTTGCGCTGTCCACAGGCTAACTACATCCCCTTTTTCTAACGCAATTCCTTTTGAGAAAATATTGCAGTATTCAAAACACCGCCTGATGTCTGGAGTAAACTGCTTATAGCTCCACCACAAAGCTGCCCTGGTGTCACTCAACATGTCAAGATTTGCAGTATTTTCCCAAACTTTAATGTCTCGTTCTGCCCCAAGTCGTACTGCCACTATTGCTGCTGCAATAGGTGATCTGCCTATCTTTTTCACGATATCCCTCCCAGCTCGTTCAAAGCCATCTCGATCAACAACACTTGTGTCACCTAGTGCATAATGCATAAGGATCGCCAAACATTGATCCTCACTCAAAACAGGCATTCGAACAGGTTCGTCGTCAAATTCACATAGAGTTCCAGCTGCAGCCTTTGTTTGAGCCGTCACCAGGATTTTGCTTCCTTTCCGCCCAACCTTGAGCACAGAGATTAGTTTCTTCAGATCCTTGTTGTTCTTGTCCACCACCCAGAAATCATCCAATATTAAGAAGAAACGTTTGCCTTCCAATGATTCCTCCAACTTCTTTTCTAGCTCGACAGGATCTGAAATATTGGCGTTGAGATCATTGGTAATGTCCTTTAGCATATTTTGGAAAATTTCCTTCACATCGAATTTATTTGAGACATGAATGCACATGATGGTGTGGAAAACTTTCTTATCCTTGCATTCCTTCTTTATGTGGTCTTGAATATACCTTGCAAAGGTAGTCTTCCCTGACCCTGAAAGACCATATATGCCAATCGCAGAGTAACAAGAGCTAGTACTCGACCTCTGTGGTGCCATGCGGAGCTTTCTCATGATAGATTGACGGAACTTCTTTAGACCAAACACATCATGGTTGCTAGCAGTTCTAATTTCACTCCTTTTCTCCTTGACAATATCCGGTCTACTGTTTTCTTCTGAGGAGATGTCCAGTGTGCTTTTTTTTCCGGAGGAGACATCCAGTGTGCTCTTTTCTTCCGAGGACACATCCAGTGTGCTCTTGCTTATGATCAAGGCTGCTGACTTCTTCACATCATTGACGGTACTTTCTACCTCATCTATTCTTTTCTTCAAGTTATGTCTTGAGATAGCAGTAATGACACAATCTATTATACCCTGCAAGGAGCAGAATTTCATATGAGTGTGGCAATCTCACCACTATTTGGTCTATTAGAGATTAGTAGTAATAAGGCAGAAAAAATTAGATATAACTGGTGGAACAAAAATGGCTATGAAGGAGAAATTAAAAAATCACTGCCAGAACACAACTGCTCACGATTCTCGCGGTGCAAAAGGATTGATCATGGGGAAACAAAACTTTCTATTAATGACACAGCTACGGTTGATATGGACATCGCGCTACATATAAACAACGAAAGTAGTTTAAGGAATAAAATATCATTACTAGACAAATGGTAAACAAGGAAAAAGATATGGCAGTGAGAACTAATGGCACTGATTATTGTACACTACTGTCACAAGGTTCAGTCAAATAAGATACTGCTTCCTGCAGTAACACAAATTAATAATATAGTAATTACACTGATCATTGTATTTTCCCTGGAACGTAAAATATATAATTTACTAGTTCTGAACGGTCATACAAGAGTAGTATGGAGGAAGTGAGGTGCGCGAAATGGCTCCCAAGTGCACATGATTCTTGGACTAACATAAATTTTGAACACACCGATGCATGCTAAATAGATAAAAGTAGGAATCATTTCAAGGCATGTACATGAGCTCATATGAGACACAATCGGTTGTGTACCTGTTTGCTTGTGATGCCAACCCCCTTGAGGCACGAGTTTCGTTGCAAGCAGGCTTCATTATACACAGACAGTAACCGGTTGATTGTGGATCTACAAAGGTTCTTGAAGACGCCAAAGTAGCTGGATGAGGGTGCCATAGCACTGAAATTAGTCACGGGAAGTAGCCGACTGGATCCGCTGCGGACAGAGGCCGCCAGAACTGTAGCAGTAGCCTGAACTACAGCAGTCGCCTGAACTGCAGCTGTAGCCACCAGGCCGGGCCCCATGAACCACTGCAGTAGCCATGCCGACCCACCCGAGACGATGCGTGCAATCCACACGCAGATCCAGGTGAAACAAGCGACGCATGTGGACATGGTGCACAGGCGCTCAATCCACCTGTTGCGGTACAGCTTGATGGCCTGGTGATCATGCAAGATGTCTTCCGCATCCTCCTGAGCGTGCCTCAGCATGGCGGCCAGCTCGTGGAGCCTGGACAATTCCGATGATGTCTTTCCTCTCTCCACAACCCTCGCCTCATCTAACTGAGGCAGCGTATTCTCCAGCTCCTGGAGGATGGTGATCTCCAGATGCTTGAGCTTCTTGGATGTGTCGGCCCCGAAGCGGGCAGTGAACTTGGTGATGAAAGAGGCGATGAGGGGCGCGAAGAACCAGCTCACCATGGTTAGGAGCAAGCCTAACGCCGCCCAAGTAGCGGCGGCCATGGAAGGCTGCTTCCAATCGAACTCGTCAAGAGACCAGCGGCGCAGAGAACCAAGAGCAGCAGCGGCGTCAGGGGCTCAAGCTAGCGAAATGGGGAATTCCTGTGACGAGTGTGAGTTCGAGAGTGCGTGTGTGAGAGAATGCGCGTTGCATCTTGGTGGGAAGAAAAGTAGCAGTACTTATTTCATTTTGCTTTGCCGCATCTTTGTCGGAAGAATAACTAAACTCGCTTTGAAGCACTGCCTTACCGGAAAACGCCTAGAAGCCGCCTGAGCGAGCTGTACTCTGTTTGGTTCTAAACAAAGATTTACGCACTGACAGTCTGCATGTGGCCGCGTGGTTACCTAGACAGTGTGCAGTGTGTGCTCCAACCCACCAACCATGGAGTCGCTTTATCCACGTGCAAGCCACGATGCGTTCATAAAATAATCAAATTACTATTCAATCACTCCCCTCTGCGTGTATCTTGAAAAACCTACCCTCTGCGTCTGCATTGCGTGGACATGCACATATCAGGTTTCTTACACTAGTACCTTACTAACAATACTCCATCACACAATGCGGAAAAAGAATAGGTTTTCTCAAAGAGTCATTTTACAGTGCATCCGGACGATATGGACCGTCCTTCGGAGCGAATTCGACGGTCCAGATCCGATGCAATACGCTGATGTCACGTGTATTATATCAGACCCCGAGGGGCATTTTCGGGAGAAAAACTATTTCGAACTGATCTGATTTTCCCTCCCAAATACTTCGAGGGTATTCTCGGTACAAATTTCAGGGCTATTTTCGGTTTGATTTTTATCCCGTTCGTTAGGGTTTATTCCTCGCCGCCGCTAGGATTTTAATCCTCGCCGGCAGGATCTAGCCGCTCGTCGCGGCCCCTCCCTCCCTCCTCACCGGCAGGATCTAGCCGCGCGTCGCGGCCTCTCCCTTCCATCGCCCTAATTCCCTCGCGATCTCGAACCACCTTTTCAACGAAGAACACGAGAGGAGGCGCACTGCCCTCCCCGCGGCGCCCACCGACGAAGATTCGGCGCCATCCCACCTCCCAGTCCTCTATGCGGGTGCCTATAGCCACAAGGTTATAGCCAACCTCTTTCCCACACCCCAATTGGTTGTTTGCGTCCTCTACATATCACCTCTCCGCCATGGCTGCAGCTTTGCTCTAGCCATGCATCTCGTCCGAGGGCAAGGTGGTTGGGTATATATGGATCATGTTCTGCTGGACTACATGAAGCCGGCCGCCGGCCTCGATGGCCAGCCCCATTCGTCGAGCCCCGACTGCATGATCTACGAACGTTCAATCGTTGCATTCAACATGTATTCTTTCAATTTGGCTGATAGGTGAGATTTGGAGATCAATAGAGATGATAAGCTATTAATTTTGGAATGTACTATAAACAATTCATAGCTTATGTTGCTCAATATTTATGATGCCCGCTTCTTCTTATGCAATTGCTGGACTGGGATCAACAGACTTGGCATGTGCTTTATAAGAAAAATTAGATTCACATGGGATATCCACCTTTTGAAGATTGGTGTTAATTCTTATTATGATGTTTTAGCCTTGTTAAAGGGAGAGTAATGATCCTCGCAAAAAGCAGAGAGAAAGGAACGAGCATTCGATTCTTTCATATGTTGCATTTCATTCTTCTGTGTTTAGTTATGTCCAACATTTGATACATGCACACACTTGACAAGGTTAGTACAAGTAGTAATTTTTCCTCTATTTTGCAGGGCTATGACAGAACATGCTATGTGATTCCCTAAGGCAGGATGGATGTTCCATGGCCACACCACTATGCTCCTGAAGGTGATCCCTTCAATTCAGCATTGCAGCACCTGCAGAGGCCCCCTATGGTACGTGCTTTACTCTTGTTATTCTATGCTCTATTTTATTGGCTTTGCGGCCTGCCTACGAGACATTGACTATGCCGTTTTCTAGGATAGTTGGGATTGCGTGTTGAATCAGGCAATATTTTTTCTTCTGTTGTGAGGCTATGCTCATGCTCATACCTTTTTCTCTCGTATGAAAATAGACATATCATAACCCATTATTCTTCTAGGATTGCCCGTGCACTATAATTGGTCCGAACCTTGCCTAGGCACCATTACTGTCTCATGGTAGTAAAAAGCAAATATAGTTTTCTACGAGATCCGGTAGCGACCAAATTTATTTCAAGCAAAATATTTTAACCAATATTATTGAAGTTTTACAACTTGACTCATGCGCAATGGACTAAGAACACGGCTAGCAAACCTTCTTCGGGACTAAAACCCAACCACACCCTGCTCTATCGCTTTATGGCCAAGTGTACACTCCACACTGCTGGACTAACTGCTTGCATCTTCGTCGGCTTCAACCGCAGCTGCATCTGATAGCCTAGCATGGTACTGCTTGGATCTATTCCTGTATTTCATTTTGTTGTAGGGTGAATCGAAAAGCACAACAGGTAGCTCTTTTCTGAATATCTCGATGCAAGCCTGCATGCAAGGGTATGTTAGTATTGTTCCATAAGGTTCAGAAAATGACATAATTTTAGGTGTTACTCTATGTACTTCGTCATATTGCTTCCTCAGTTTTACTCCCGTAAATAATTCGATGTTCTTCAGCATGTACAATGCAAAACAAGAACTGCAACATTTTATGTTGTTAGATCAGCATTTCAGATATTAACAATCTAAAACAAAAACAAAAGCTAATATTTTTGACCGACGTCTCATCGGCTTTTGGCACATTAATGTTCCATACTGGCCATTGCGTCACGTTAATGTCTTCCAATGCATTGCTTTCTATCCCATTGACTCGCCTCGCGGCTCTCAGATGTGATTCCATCCCACGTACCTGCAAGCCCAATGGGATGAGAAGTTGCCTATGACTAATACTTACATACGATGTCAAATCCTTTGTTATAATTAAATATGTTGAAATTATCACCACGTTATTCACTTCTTTGGGTACCATACAGTGGAGAAGTGAATCAAGAACCTGAATCTCCTTCCTTCTAGGGTTTACGACCACAAGAAGCCAACCGCTGGTCCCTCGAGCCCGAGTGCATCTCCAAGAATGCCGCCCCAAAGGGGGTAACGACACATGAATGCCGCCGTCATCCGATCAACTGATCTAGGATTTTCCCCGGAGGTATTGGGTGGGTTTGGGAGTTTCACCTCGATGATGCCTTCAAGAAGGGAACGATGGTAAGGACATCGTCATCACCGGCTCCGGCCAACGACCGAATACCAGGTTTTCACCCGGATCCGTCCCAAGGAATCCACCCGACAACCTGTGCACCGTCTCGACCGCCTTCAAAGCCCCAGATCTAGCCACCTAGATCCGGTGACCAACCGCAACAGCAGTGCCACCGTAGGAGCCCTGACGCACCGGCCACTACTAGAGTGTGCCACCACTGGAGCCTGGGAGGAGGGCGCCCACCCCCACCTCGCCAAACCACGAGAGCTGCCGAGATGGATCCCGCGCGATCATCACCGTCTCTGATCCGAACCAATCCGCAACCAGATTGTCATCACAGATCCGCCTTGGACAGGGACTGCACCACGACATGCCGCTGCGGGAAGCCCGAGCTTCACCGCCACCACCATCCAGGGCCGCCACCCCGGAATACAGACAGAACATCGCTGCTGCCACCGGCCTTGTTCCACCGCCGCCGACCGGCCGAGCCGCCGGCCACTCCATGCACAGCCAGTCGGCCGACCATCTCCGACGAAGAAGAAGGCCACCACCACCAAGCCTAGGGCCTGAGCCCCAGACATCCTCATGTTGCAGATCAAGTCCAGGAGCAGTGCACCGCTGATAGTGATTGAGATCGGTAGCACAACGAATCAGCTCGACTCAAGGGCAGATCCGCCGTTGCCCCCGCCGCACCACATCCATGTCGCCGCCGATCTGCGCCACCGTTGCCGATCTAGCCGGAAAGGAGCGCCGCCTCCCAACCAGATCGCAATCCGAGGAGAAAACCGCCGCCGCCGCCACGCCACAAGGGCTTTGCCCTGTGACGCCCCGGGCGACGGTGGCGGAGGGGAGAGGAGGTG